CTGGACAGGCTGGAAGATGACCAACTAAAACCAGCTTGACCAGCCTAGCCAGGCTGGGTGCTCAGCCAAAACCAGCTATGTCCAGCTTAAACCAGGATGGTCAAGCTGGTTTTGGCGGGTCACTTTCCAGCTAAGACAAAAATGGCTGGAAACCAGCCTGGAAATGGCCAAAACCCCTCTAAAACCAGGCTGGTCTACCAGCTAACCATCCTTGGCTGGTTTATGCTGGATTTTTCAGCAGGGTTATCTTCGTTTTCTGAAGAAACCCCCTATCCACCTCTTCTCCCCCTTTCTTCCTTAACCACGGGGAGCTCTCGAGAACTACCTGTATTCGTACTCCCCTTACATTCTCAATCGACCCGGCGGGAGCCCTGGGCTCAATTATCTCCAAGCTCAGGGTTCTCTCCCGGAACAGCATGCCAAACCTGCTATCATTTGTCAAACAATATTACACTCTCGCAGTTCAAAACTAGGTTAAAGACCTATCTTTTTAGTAAAGCATACACTCAATGCATCACATAGCGGTATGACACATGAATGTTTAACATTTTTTAATGGAAAATTTATAAAACCCACAATCATTTCTCTGCACTGAGTAAAGCAAGTATATGTTCTTCAAAAAAAAAAAATAGAAAATATTTTTCCTTTAAATGGAAAATTAATCAAATCCACAACCATTTTTGCAGTCAGTAAAGCCAGTATGTGTTCCTCCAACTAAAGTAATGTCTCTTCAACAGAACTGTTTAATTTCATAGAGACTATTTGTTTTTAGACAAAATGAATTAAAAAAGAGAGATCCAGAAACCATGAATATTGAATCCAATTCTTGTAATTCACAGGAATAGTCTCCAAAAGCTTACTCTCCTCTTAAAACACATGATTTCTCCTTTTTAAGCACACACTGATCCACTTGATATCGCTCTCCTAATGCATTTGATTGCCATTCAAACATTTGTCCAAAGACTTATTGGAGCCACCGTTGAGTTTTATTGTATTTTGGTTGGCACAGGAAGTTTTGGGGTCACCAGCACATAATGTAATCTTGCTGATTAATGACCAACAGTGTATTATTATGGTGCACATTTAATATGATATCAGTTCAGGGAGGTTATCTGAGCAATGATGGGAAACGGTGAAAGGGCACATCACACAGCCCGAGACTTCACTAATCCATCATCTACTGTATCTGTAAATAAAAGAAGACTCATTTATACTACAGGGTGGGCCATTCATTATGATGCACATTAATAAAATGGGAATGGCTGGTGATATTAGCGTCCTGTTTGTGGCACATTAGTAAATGTGAGGGGGCAAACTTTTCAAGATGGGTGGCGACCATGCTGGCCATTTGAAGTCATTTGACACATCAGACTCATTGGGAATTTCACACGAAAAACAATGGTGTGCTTGGTTTTAATGTAACTTTGTTCTTTCATGAGTTACGTACAAGTTTCTGACCACTTAAAAAATGTGTTCAATGTGCTGCCCATTGTGTTGGATTGTCAATGCAACACTGATAGCAACACCGCAGGAGAAATGCCAGCACAGGCTTCCAGTATCCGTAGTTTCAGGTGCTGCACATCTTGTATCTTCACACCATAGACAACAAAGATAGTGAGTCCATTCTTCATCAATGAAAACCTCAAGGCCGCTGGATATTGAAATTGCTACATGATGATGTGTATCTCTTTATGCACTGAAGCTGGCACGCTCCCTGAGTTTTTCCAGCAAGATGGTGCACCACCACATTATGGGTGTCAGGTCCGAGCATTCCTATATAAACAGTTGGCCAGTTGAATGGCCCCCAAAGTCTCCCGATCTGACGCCCTTAGACTTTTATCTTTGGGGTCATCTGAAGGTCATCTAATTGTCTATTGTATATTATAATTGTCTATAATTGTCTCACTATCAAGATACAAGATGTGCAGCACCTGAAACTGTGGATACTGGAAGCCTGTGCTGGCGTTTCTCCTGCGGTGTTGCTATCAGTGTGTGAAGAGCGGGAGAAGAGGGTTGCATTGACAATCCAACACAATGGGCAGCACACTGAACACATTTTATAAGTGGTCAGAAACTTGTAAATAACTCATGAAAGAATAAAGTTACATTAAAACCAAGCACACCATTGCTTTTCTTGTGAAATTCTCAGTTAGTTTGATGTGTCACATGACCCTCTTCCTATTGAAAAAATCAAAAGTTGGATCCTAGACGGCCGACTTCAAAATGGTCACCACCCATCTTGAAAAGTTTGCCCCCTCACATACACTAATGTGCCACAAACAGGATGTTAATATCGCCAACCATTCCCATTTTATTAAGGTGTATCCATATAAATGGCCCACCCTTTTTTTTACAACAATAATCGCATTTACATCATGATAACATACAAGGGTTCACACTTTGAGGCACACTTTTCCCTGATTTTACTGACTAAAAAGCTGAGATTCCACAGCCATTGTAACTTCAGGACTTCCGGTCTCACTGACTTCCATTCATTTTTTAGCAAAACAAAACAGCTTCAGCTGCTTGATGTTCTGTAAATCTGTAAATTCCATTTTCACTGGCTTCAATTTATATTTAAATGTATTTATTTTAGGGGTGACATGGTGGCGCAGTGGGTAGCGCGGTCACCTCACAGCAAGAAGGTCACTGCATCGAGTGCCAGCTGTGTCAGTTAGCATTTCTGTGTGGAGTTTGCATATTCTTCCTGTTCCTCCCTGCTGAAAAATCCAGCCTAAACCAGCCTAGGCTGGTTGGCTGGTTTAAGCTGGTCAACCAGGCTGGTTTTAGAGGGGTTTTGGCCACTTCCAGGCTGGTTTCCAGCCATTTCCAGCCTGGTCTTAGCTGGTCAGGCTGGGAGATGACCAGCTAAAACCAGCTTGACCAGCCTAGCCAAGCTGGGAGTCCATCCAAAACCAGCTATATCCAGCATAAACCAGGCTGGTCAAGCTGGTTTT